GTCAGCGCAGATGTAGTTAGGGATCTTCTGGAAGGGCTAGACGTTTTTAAATCTGCGGACCCAGATGCCCTCCACCCAAGGGTGTTGAGGGAGCTGGCAGGGGTCATCGTGGAGCCCTTGGCCCGGCTGTATGAGCATTTGTGGTCATCTGGCCAGGTGCCGGTGGATTGGAGACTAGCTAATGTGGTCCCAATTTTGAAGAAAGGGAGGAAGGAGGACCTCCCTTATGGTAATAAGCTGATGGAGAATAGGTTTAGGTTAGAGATCAGAAGGCAATATTTTACAGTTAGGGTGGCCAAAATCTGGAACCAGCTTCCCAGGGAAGTGGTCCTCACCCCTACCTTGGGCAAATTCAAGAGGAGGTTGGACGATCTCCTGTCTGGGGTCTTGTGAACCCAGCATTCATTCCTGCCTGTGGCAGGGGGTCAGGCTTGATCTGATCAGGTCCCTCCTGACCCTAGCTACTATGAAACTATGATACAGTTTTATAAACAACAAGAATTCAGGGAACCTCTCCTTGATCCTGGGGTCCTGGCATGTGCAATTGTGCTACACACAAGATTTGCTATCCATGTGAACTGAGCTGTGGGTCCCATGACTGGAGTTGACATATGCCATGCCTCAAACCCAAATGCAGCTTGGGCATGCCTTGACACACACTTCTAGGGTGCTTGCATGCCATCGGGTGCCCTTCTGTTCCAAACCCCTCTCTGCTTTCTTCTGCTTGACCACTGAAAACAAGCCGAGATGTGCCAGAAGCCAACTCCTTGGCCTGTGATGCATCAGCCCTGTCTTTCTTGCTCAGTCAATGCAGCCTTTACCAGAGATGTTTTTACCAGCTAGGAGGAGTGCACACTCCTAGTCCAGTCATGCACTGAGAAAAGATAAATCTTCATTTCCACAGAATGATCATGGCTGTATGGTCAATGTACTGGAGTTACAATGAACACTGATAATAAGTGAGTATCTGGGGCCCTGAACTGGCCCTGGTGTGGTCTAGAGGCTGGAACTGACAGCTAATTGGGAGTGGGTTCTCAAATGATCTCCTCTAAGGTTTCAGCGCTGCACTATACTGTACAAGCTCATGTCAGGCTGTGGGGACCTGTCTTGCAACTTCCCAGTGCAGGGGAAGCCCAAGATCATGATCCCACACTCTTCCTACACTGGTAAGTAGTAGTAGCACGATTGGAATCTGTTTTGTGATCCCAAAATCACATGTCTTGCCATGCACGTATAGCATGGCAGGCAGTATTATTGGGATTGTGGATCAGATTCCATAATGCCATTAAGTGAATGTGTGCCAGGGCTGTTACATATGACACTCCTGATTGCACCTATTAGTTTGCTTGCTTTTTTCACAGTAATATGACATCGTTAACTTGTGTCCAGTTTGTGATCCACTGGATCATAGTAGTATCCACAAGATTCTTTTCTGCAGACCTGCTGCCTAGACAGTTTTTCCCCATTATGTATTTGTGCAATCATTACTTTCCACGTGTCCTTTTTAAATTGTATCCTATTGATTTTCAAGACGGACAAATGCAAAATACTATACTTAGGTAGGAATTGCCAACACCTAGAATAGAAAATGGTGAATGACTGGCTAGGCAGCTGTGTTGAAGAATGATGTAATTGACTAATGAAGCTGAAATGGATTGTTATTCTTTATTATTTTCAATAAAAAGAAAAAGATATTATATAAAGCTGAATGGCATGGATTTTTGTGGATAATGTCTTTTATTGAACCAGCTGAAATTATTTATTTTGCTTATTAATTATTTATTGGTCCAATAAAAGATCACCCACAATAATCCTTGCCCCATATATCTCCTGGACCATCATGGCTATAGCATCATTCCAATACTGTCAAGCTATCTGGAATTCTTTTTTATATGTGGCAGAAGATCCCCAGCTCTGTAATAATGAGTAGGTAATCTTCAATGTAATTTTCTGATCCTCAGAAAAAGTGAGCAAATATGTTGCAAGAAAATGAAGACTAACAAAGGGTTCAAGGATTTGTTTTATGTGGAAGGTTTGGGGATATTTGTGGAGTGAGAATTCATGGCATTCTTGACAGATGGATTTCACCTGAGTAACTTAGAAACTAACAGATCTGGGCTTGAGACTAGCAAGAATGATAAGAAAAGCTTTACATCAAAAAAAGTTTGAGACTTGTAATCTAATGCTAAGAATTATTATGGTAGACTTCCTTCCAAGATGTAGAATGGAAAACAAATGTTTCTAATGAAGGTGGGGTCCTGCTACGCATGGATTGTAATCACTGGCAGATTTCTTCACCCTATAGTTACAGAACCAGCATGAGGTGATGCTATTTTAGACTTGTTTTTCATAAACACAAAAGACATAGAAGAACTAGTTATAGAAAACGAACTTAGATTGAAAGATCCCAAGTTGATGCATGTAGCAGGGCACTAAGGTGCCTGCTACTTGGAGAGCTGGAATAACCACGCAGGTGCTGGTTGCTGGGGTAACCAGAGCAAACTAGTGACCCACACCTGCCTAGTCAGCTGACCAGAAGGGGCAGGGCCTGGCTCCTATATAAATCACAGGCTGGAGGCCAGGAGGCAGTTCCCTGCTGACAGCTAAGGGAGAAGGAGCTGTGCCGGAGAGAGTAATGAGAAGCTTGAATACACGAACGGCTTGAGATGGTGAGAGATGGAGCACCCCTGGTGTGGCAGGAAGAATGTTGGAGCCAGAGGGCTGAGATTTATGTTATAGCCTAGGGGCTTATGCTTTGTGTTTGCTGTTTGTGACTGGAGGTTTGGGTGAGGCTATAAGGGAATGGAGGAGGCCTCATAAGGGGACTCATGGTAGTGTGGGGACCCCAGCCCCAGAGTGGGGGCAGCACTGTGAGAGGCCCCAGAGCGGGGGGCAATGACCAACGTAAGCCCGAAAGGGCAGCAGCGGGAGTGTACTGACCCCGAGTGCCAAAAAGAGCGCAGCAGCGGGAGTGTGCCGACCCCGAGTGCCTGGTAAGGCAAAACGAGAAAAGGTTGTGTAGAACCCGAACGCCCAGTGGGGCACCATTGAGAGACAGACGGCTGCAGAGAGCCGGAACGCGCAGTGGGGCGCCGTTGAGAGACAGGGCTGCGGAGAGCCCAAGGGATAGTATGAGACCAGAGACTGAAGATCATCCGTTCCATCTGCGAGGCTTGGGGCGTGGTACAGGGGACCTGTTTGCACGGAACACCCATTCTAGAAACGGGACTAGTGACAGCAAGAGAATCATGGCCAAGAGGAAGAAAGGTAGCCTCCCAATAAAACATACTACATCAGAGTCGTGGCAGGCGAGATGTGAGGGTGCTTGGTAGGCAGCTTGGCACAGTACAGAGGGCAACTAGGAGAGAGCACGGTGACCCAAGGACGCCCCTCCTGTTACAATACAATTTAAGTGGAAAGATAAACAGGTCTGTATTTAACATTTTCTGTTCTTTTTCAAAGATTGAATTTTGAGAAATGAGGGCAACCAGTGGCATCAACTGATCTGAAGAGCTCAGGGATCTGAGTGTGGAGGAGACTTGGAATTTCCTTAAGTCCAAGTAGCAAAAACTTTTTGGAATGTGCATCCCAATGAAGGGTGAAGGGGCAGAATTTTGCAGAGAAGGGCCCCTAATTTAATTGGATGATAACCAGCTCCCTCAAAAAGATTAGTGGGTGTAAGCAAAGGGAAAACATGGAACAAAAAGAGAGACTGTTGCAAAGAAAGCTGCCTCTTGACGCTCGGAAAGTTTTATAAGGATAAAATAAGTGTAAGAAGTCAAGCTGAGGCATGGTCAAGTGTTATATTTGTAGCACTATTAATGCCATTGTAGCATTACAGAAAGTGAGTGTTTAGCCATTCAAACTATTTGTAGCACTACAAGGATGGTGAAATCACCACAAAATAGTACCTTTTTCAAAAAGGAGCTTTTTTGCAATACTGTTGTAGTGCTGGTAAGAGGCGGGGGCGGGGAGGGAGAGCACCTGGGTCCATAGTGGTTAACTCAGTTGCAGTGACCTGTTGAAGACATGCTATGGAGTGCAACAGGAAGAGCTGCTTTTCTTATGATAGAAGACCTCAGTGCTGCCACCCATGCTTGGGAAAACTGGGAAAAGCCACTCTTCCCAAGGGGGTGATTGCAGCTCTTCCTGCTTCCACAGCCCCTGAGGGAACACCAGGAATATCCCCTGTTCCTACGGTGGCAGCAGCAGCAGGAAGAGCTGCCACCACCACTGCAGAAATACTGGGAAGAACCACAGATCCCTGACAGCCTGTCAGAGGGCAGGCTATCAGTTACTGAGCTCACTGACAGGAGAGAATCTAAGGAGCAGTCCTCTGTTACCCCTTGGCCAGAAAGCTTTCCTGCACACCTACATAGCACTATACTTTTGTAGTATTACAACGTGCATCAGCACTACAAACGAATGGTTTGTAGTGCTGAGCTAGACCTTGCAAAGAAATTAAAAAGGTCCTTTCACCACATAAATGGCTGGAGAGTGGTTCCTAGCAGAGTACCTCAAGGATCATTCTTCATTTTTTGACAGTGGCATACAAAA